TGGAAAACGTGTCTTGCTGCGCTTGATCGTGGAAGTCGGCTCGTCTTCGCTGCCCTAATTCGAGATCGATTGGTTAATTCGGGGAAGCATTTCTGGCCAACATTTTTGACCCGCGAGCTTTGAACCTCCATCGGTGCTGTGAGAGTTATCGTGCAAGGCCACCGAAGAGGTGGGAAAAGGTGGGAAGGAGTGTGATGACCATCACCCTAAACAACGGCGTACAATTAGGGGAGTAGCTTCCAAGGGAGGATGGAGAAGTCGACCCGTACATCGACAATTGAAAGGGTGGAACGCGAAGCGAACGGTCAGAGAGACAAGCTTGTGTCGCTCTCATGAATAGAGACTATTTAAGCTGCGGACTGCACATACGAGCTGGCCGCTAGTGGCACTTTCTCGAGCGTGGGACCAGCCACACACAAAAGCCTTGATTCAAGGATCAATCGAGGCGCAATGTCAGAATAAATTTATCGCACAATCTTGGTGTGATATCCCGCACAGAGCCCAAGCTTGGGCGTCTTGGGTGCTGGTTTTGCCGTTTGTTGCAATTCCTTGCATCGGAGGTCAAGGAGGGTGGCGATTTCTGCCATCGCCGACGCCGTGACAACGGGCTTCTTCCATGGGGAACTGAAAACGGTTGATTGTGCTTGGCAAGCGCTATACCAGGTGAGGGGCACTGCCCTTTGCTGCGACGGCAACAATGACTTTGCTTTGGCACACCTGGGGCGGGTGCGTCCCAGAACCCCGCGGATCTCCAATCGACACCGAATCAGAATGCACAATTTTCGGCCAAATCGTAGGAAATTTGGAGAGATACACTTAATGACAGATCTTCCACATCCCCTTAATGGGGATGAGTGCTTTTTCACAAACATTGATAGTTAAGGGTTTCAGGACCCAAGCTTTCCGATTCTGACCTTGCTTTGTACTTTTGACTTTTTTTGTAAGGAAGTTTTTCTTTCAAATAAAGGATATTTAATTTGAGACGGAGGAAGTACACCCTTGGAAAGCTATATATATTTCAGCACAGCAACAGAACTTTTGGCCTTTTGTGAAGAGCATCAATAAAATTTCAAATGGTGTTAAAAAGATGTGGAGCAGCCCCAGCTGCCGTACGAGGGACTCTGACTGCTCGTGGCGCCCAGCGGCCCCAGGTGCATGAGTCAGGGAGGCGGGAAACTGGCATCGGAGGCCATGCAAGATGAGTTAGTCGCCATGGCGGGTGTGGCCATGATGCGATCCCCCCAGATATCGGTTTGTAAAAATTGCGGGGCAAAACACGTGGCTTTCAAATTTCCAATGCAGAAGGGTTGAATGTACTATGGTACGCCCGTGGCATATTCTGCTGGTCAAGCTCGAGGCGCTCCAACATCAGATCTATCGCAGATCTATCGGACGAGCTGGGTATAGTACATAACATACAGCCATTCCCTGGTTGTATTATCAAGACTTGTTTGAATGCTGAAGATGACATGACACTTCGGTTGTGGGGAAACATCAACACCCAAAATTTCCTTGCCGTGTAATGTGCAGAATGCAACTTCTTTCAAATTCAAAAAGTTGTAGTTTCTGAATATTCAAAACTCGAGTGCGGGTATCCCGTGGGCTGGGTCGCCCCACAAACTGCCATGCGCGTGGAAGGCGCCAGGCTCCGGCCGTGTAGGACATATGGGATACACCTGGCGACGGGTTTGAGACAGCCTCATTGGGATCATGGGGTGTTACGTATATCATGTACACTGGGGTGCAACCCGACCCCATGGCCCAGACAATTCTTCGACCACCCGGCACGCTGCTGCGACAAGCGAACCGAGAACGCCCTGATTCTGCCTGACACGCGACACGGACTGGGCTGCCAACGTTCGAGGGCGTTTCGTGTGGCGCCGAGCCTCGTGCTACCGCAGGAATGGCATCCAAATCACCAGTAGAAAACAGCCTGTTTGCGATGCCAGTTGAGATGCCATTTGACACAAATTGATGCCATCGCAGCCACTTTTATGCCATCGCAATCACTGTGACGGCATCATTTTGTGTCGAAATAACATCGCTGTTGGCATCGCACACATTCCGTTTTCTACCAGTGAATGGCGATTTCCCCAGCAACGAGCCAGTCTCAGAGGGAAACGAACGCTCGCCCAATCGAGCCGGACTCGATGGCGAGGGTGCACCTGCAATAGGCGGCTACCAGCGCGGCATGTACCCAACGAACGGGGCGCGATCCCCGTGTATTCAAAGGAAAACGCCAGTGTGAGCCCAAAACAAGCGTGTGTTCTCACAAGCAAAGCCTCCCATCCATAAATAGTCCAGTCCCGTGTGCGGCGGTAACGCAGTACTCATCTGACTCATGCCCAAAAAGGCCACATCAAATCTTGCACAACATCATAATGCATTTTTCCCGGGCGCGCCACCCTCGCTTTAATGTACGAACAGTCCCAGCTTAAGTACTATTCCGCGTTGCCCTGCGTTCCAACCCGTCCCAGCCCTTGGGTGTGGCACATGGGCCCCAAAGCACTACCTCCTCCTGCTAATGTGCTAGCCTAAGTTGCCAAGGGCGCTAACTACGTCCCAGCCCTCGGGTGCGGCACCCGCCCTCCAAAAGTACGGGCTCCAACCGCTGACATACTATCCTGCGTTACCCAGCCTTGCCTACCGTATTGCCGGCACCTCCCGGCGCCTGGAATGTGACACGCCGCTTAAAACGCTACCAAACCCATCAGCCGTACCGCGGTGCCTGCTGCCGGTTCCCCGTGCTGGGGCACAGCACGTGGTGCGGCACCCATAGTAGTTAGACGCTTTGAAGTACTGGAAAACGCAAGGGTGCGGCATCCATAGTACTTGGGCCACCCAAAGTACTCGGAAATCATCTTTTATTGCACCTACATCCATGCTCTCGCCAGCACGCTCCACCACCAGTCGTCGCAGCACGACCCAGCTCATCGCAGAGCCCGGCACTCATCAATCTTCTATATAGACGCTCGGAATGACACGTCCATCAGTCACATCATCAAAGAGGCACGGCAAGTTGTATGGCACATCTTCAACTGCAGCAGGTCATCATTGGCAGTTATTTTGCATGTCTCCGAAACTAGCATGGCCATGGCCCAGCTCCATATAGATGCATCAGCAGACTCATCATCTCATTAATGGCTCGAAATCGGCACTGCCCATTTTCAAGGCTATGGCATGGTCAATATTGTTTTCTGCGACAGTCAAGTTGCTCTTTTTTACGACATGTTCTTTTTCGCGACGGTGGCGATCGTTGATGTGCGAGATGTTGGCATATGGTTTGCCATGCCAACCCAACGTTGTCCATGAGCCTTCTCTCACAAGGGCGCCGAAGGCTCGTCTGTTTGGAGAAGGAACCAAAAGGCGAAACATGAGCGTTTGGGGATGCCCAGGGTCCCCACCTTGCAGAGGGGGGCTGCCGCTGCCATTCGGCGCTCACATTGGCACTGAGATTCAGCCGAATTGGCTGAGGTTGGAGCCCCCCGTTTCCTCCCAAACTCTGTGTTTGTAGTGCCAGCCCCCTGAAATGTGCGTACGTGGCCATGCGGGTAGACGGTGCTGCCAACTGGGACTGGGGGTTGTTGCTCTTGACGCCAGACGTAGAGGCCAAGGCGCTGGTTGCCAGCGCCATTGCCGTCCAGCATCGACCATCAAGGTGCCCACGCCCTGCGCCGTTGACTGGTCACACGGCTACTTTCGTTGTTGGGTGGCCACCCCATGGGGGCACGCCCTGTGAGCCACGACCTGTAGGCTGCTACCGGCGGCATTTCAGCACTTGGCGCAACCTAGTGGCCAATTTGCGCCGCCCAGCCCTGTGCGGTACCCAGGCCCCAGACAACCACAGCCCGTGAAGTTTGAGGAAGCGGAACAGCAATCCCTTGGGCTGCGGACAACAGCGCTGGTGGCTGGTAGCGGCCAGCGGCAGGTGGCAGATGGTGGGTCGGTTCAAAGCAGGATTGGTTTTTACGTTTACGTTTACGTTTTTACTTTTACGTTTTTACGCATAAAAACGTATATTTGCAAAAGGCCCTATTTTTACAGCTATTTTTACGTTTTTACGGCTCCTTTGGACGCCCAGATTACGTGATGAAAGTTGCGTACAATGATCAGTCTTCCGCCAAATCCAGCACCCGCAACACAGTGTCCACCTCGCCCTTGGCAAGGGCGATGATGGTGTTTGACAAAAACTCGTTTTCTGCCCCTTCCAGGGCATCTGGCTGCCACTCTCCGGACTCCATAGTTCTGTATGTACTGTCCTTATGTACACCGGGCAGTTTTTACGTTGTATTTACGTATTTTTACGCATTTTTACGCGTAAAAACGTAAAAACTGTTTTTATGCGTAAAAACGTAAATACGATCAGTTTTTATGGCGTAAAAACCAAGCCTGGTTCAAAGGCCCCGCTGCCTTTCCAAGCTAGTCATATTCACTGTCAAAAAAAGGAACAATCCACTGCTGCAAAAAAGAGTAGTTTGGCACTGCTGCAGAACAGAACAATCCGCGATCGCAAAAAGAAATGTTCACCCTATGACATCTCGTCTGCACTCATCAAGGCATTGGGTCCAGCACATCCTTGGTAATCAACATGGCAACGGCACGGCTCATCTTCAAGGCCGCAATTTCTCATTAAGGAGTTCATTTAGGCTGCATTCCCTGCATATTCATACCTCTCCATACCATCTATCGCGTCCTCACGTAGTTGTGATATCAAAGTCATGCCAGTGCTGTTAACCGTCAGATCATAACGAGACTTTTAATGACAAGGTATCGCGCTTCGCGCATCGCCATCCCAGTACTACAGGGCGTGTTGGATGGCCTGACGTCGAGGGCCGACGTCTGTCCGGTTCTGTCTCCCGCGGCACCCAGCCACCCTCCCCCGCGTAGCGGAAGCCTCGGCCGTCCCAGTGGCCCCTTGCGTTTCCGTCCCCGCCTTGACCTCCGGGGCCCATGTGCGCCCTCGTTCCCCTCGTTTTCGATCCCGACGCTGTCTGGGGTGGATGGGCTGGACGGGTCGGCTGCTGTGCCTCCTGGGCGCGAGGTTCCCCGACACAGAGCTTGAGAGGCGGTACCGCAAGTTCCGGATAACGCACTACTTCCTCAGGGACGATGGCTTCCAGGCGGCTGTGCGGGCCTCGGGGATCTGCGCCCTGGGGGTGAGTGGGCTGGTCAGGTCCGGGCCCACGGCCGGCACGGCGGTCATCTTCGTCATGATAATCGCGCCGGCGGTGCAGCTGGCGATGCGCTCGCTGGCCGACCGGCGGGGCCGCACGGAGGCCGCCCTGGCCTCCTACCTGCGCCAGCGCTGCGCCTGGGCGGCGGTCGCCCGCACGCTGCTGTGCCCCCTGGTTGTCTGCACCTACTTCCTGGAGTTCTTCCGGCACTCGCCGGGGTCGCCGACGACCTTGTTCCGGCTTGGCGCCTACGCCCTCTACAGCACCGGCGCCATCGTCCTGTTCGGGACATGCCTGAGCTACCCCGTCCTGCTGGAGCACCACCTCGCGATCCAGCCCCTGTCGGTGCTCATGCTCGCCTACTGGCGGGGTGGGCCCTTCTGCCGGGAGGCCCTGGCGGACGACAGCGGCCCTGAGCACATGCTCGCCGCCTGGCGCGCCCTCGAAGCCGGCTCTCGTCAAGTCCTGGCAGCGATGTACATGGGGGAAGTGCCAGCGGGGCCCGAGCCCGATCCCCTGCCCGCCTGCTTGCACGTGGCGCTGGCGCTGCACGTGTGCGTGGGGCTGGCCGCGGCGACCTATGTCGCGTGGCTGGCGGAGCATGCGTCGAGGGTGCACTTCCTGACGGCCTCTTGGAGAGTGGAACGGATGGGCTGGGAGCCCCTGGGAGGGTGGGCGATTCTTTCGCAGCTCGTCATGGGCGCGGGGTGCCTGGCGGTGGCCTGGCCGGCGCTGGGGATGCTGGTGCTCGATCCGGGGGGGTGGGATGGCGGGGAGGCAGCTTGTGACGCTACTTGATCGGGACGATGACGCGAGTTTCAGAGTTTCAGTGCTGGTTTGGGAGCAACAGTTGGGGCTGCAGTGGTGAGGAGCATTGCCCAGTCATTGCGAACAGCAAACTCTATGGGGACGAACGGGAGACGCGTTTTGGGAGAGCGAGCCGCGTTTGAGGGTGTCGCCAACACATTGTGGCGATTGGAATACGGCCTGCTGGCGCGGCGCTGAAAAGGAGGAGAGCAATGTGGTGTCGGCCCGAGATTTCACATGGTGGGATGACGAGGTCTACAACAAGGAGCCATGGAGATGGCACGAATGCCCTCGCGATTGTGCAGGTGGTCCACGGTCGTGTGCCAGCCCTGTGGTCTCTGACGTCCCTGGTTCGAGTTCCATTTGAGCATCTCGCTGTTCTCCCACGCCTTGACAATAATTTGGGTTTGTCTGTCAATGGCGCTGTGCATTGAAATTATGAACCGAAGCCTTGTCGATTTTGTTGGTGCGTGGCTGCAGGCGTGTGTGCATTATCATCATAGTCCTAGGTATTCTGAATTCGATATCGATACCGAGGTTTCGGGTAGGGCCGTTGGGTACATAAGCGACGGTGGCTCTTTGGAAATAATTGTAACTGCATTCACCAAACTGTGGCAGAACCCCACCACTTTGATTTTTTGTTGTTTTTCCCCACAACCACCACTTTGATTCCGATGTTGGTGTGGGGCTATTTTATGTTGATTGTGGGATTCTTGTTCGTGACCTTCTGGGTTTCAACTCTGAATCCGCCTTGCGCACTTGGGATATCGAGATATCCATCTTCACCAAATTGCGCTTTTTGTGTTCACACTTGTATTAACAGAAACCAACTACAAGGTGGGGCTCACTGGTGGGTCGACAACCATCCTCCCTACTTGCGGCCATTCGATGGCCAAGCGGCTCATAGGTCGCCCATTATGACCCAGTCAAATTGTCAAAAAATGGGGTATGCTCATGCTCTTTTTGGGCAAAACACATTGAGTACACAGCAGGAAAACCGGTGCTGTTCTGTCCATGGCTGTTACAATTTTCAAACTCGACATGGCGCCAATTGAAAGCTTTGGACTGTGTCTTTCTCAGTGCTAAACGGACCACGTCCCCCCCCCCCATCAGATCCTCAACAAATACTTAATCCATTAATTGCACCTGTAATGTGAATGCACCTAATCCTCGAACACTGAGCTGGTTATTGACATATTTTCATGCAAATGTTGGCACAGGAACCAAGATTTGTACGCAATTTCAGATTTGCTGAAAATGTTTGGCTTTCAACCAGAGCACCTCTGGAGACACAAAACTACACGCACAAAGGTCATTCACATCCCATTGTGGATGCGTTGGGCCGCCAAGCAGGCAAAGATTATTGGGGAACACCTGCACCAAGGGTGGCTGTGTGGGCATGGAATGGGAATGTCTGCCTCACTGAGATATTCATGAAGGTAATGTGGCATTTGGACATTGAGCTAACCTCAATGTCCAAACGCCAGATAATTTTCAAGAATGTCAAATAGTTGTTTCAATCCTTGCGATGCAATTTCCACTATGCACGAGAGCTGTATCTTGGCTGTTTTGCAAGCGCACTGCAGTATTTGCCATGAAAGGTAATGATGAGCAAATTTTCATAGCCAGTGCTAAAACTAACCCAACAGATCCCCACCACTGAAAACCACCTCGTTTCCTGTCCAGAATATCATTGATACTTACATAAATTTTCCTTTTCGGAAAATAGGACTCTTTCTTGACCGCCATTACGGCTGATGAGTCACCCCCTTTTCCTGCACGTAAGGCGAACGCTCTGTCCACAACTCCAAAACAAGGGCTCCACCAAAAACAGCACACCCTACCAGAACACTTGGCGAGAAAATCCCAAGGGTGAGGTACCCCAAAATGGCAAATATTGCGACAGCCCCGGTGCTGCTGCTCCCCTGCACGCATCCGCAACGGTGGGGGCTATCCCTACGCCGAATAGCACCAGGGCGCCACAGCAATGTTCTGCTCGAATAGCCCCTGGTGATATTCTGTGGTGCCGCTTGGCCTCGAGCGGTGCTGCATAGCAAATGCTTTCCGGGGGCAATTGGCACTGCTCGGCGCCGAATAGCATCGGCGGTGTTATTGGGATGCTATTGCTCTCCAACCGTTAAGATGGTTTTCTGAGATGTGCTGCTATTCGGATAGCAGAATAGCACCACCGCGATAATAGCACCCGCCGACAAAGACGCTCTCTAAAGATGGGGTGTTATTGCTGCGCCGAGTAGCATCAGGGCGCAACTGCGATGTTCTGCGCGAATAGCTACATGTGCTATTCCGGGATCTATTTTGGCCACTGGTGGTGTTGCTCGAGGCCCAAATAGCACCCTCATGACTGAACAGTATTGGGTTGCAATTGCTCCCCCATGGATTAACGATGTTTCCATGACACAAGGCGCTATTCAGATGACCAAATAAAATCGCCGGGACAATAGCTCCCACCAATGAAAATGCTCTCATGCCGCTATTTGAAGACTCTAAATGAAAATCTAAGTATAGCATCCAATCAACCTCGAAGTGCGAACCAAAAAGTGGGCAGCATGGGGGCATAGCTATCCCACCGAAATTCCAAGCCTATCAAGGGTGTCCAGCAGGTCTTTCACAAGCATTCCGGGTTTACATTTGGAAGGGGCAAGGACCTGTCAAGAGGGGCAGCACGCGCGTTAACCGCCTCCCCCTTGTTACAGTTTTCAGCATCTAAATTAATGCAATCATAAGTTCATTTACCGCGCGGGTCCAAATAATGGGCTCCGGTGAATTGGCACAGCGCCAAGTGTACTGAGGGCATCCCAACAAACTCTACCCTTATGCATTGCCTATAGCGGCCCCATTTTCTCCTCAATTCTTCTGAGTGTCAAGTCGTCTATGATTCAAAAATTCGCGCAGCCTTTGGGCAGCATTTCTTCATATTTCCTGCCAGTATTTTGGCTAAAATTACTAGCCGTTGCGGTGACAAGCTCCACAGCCATGCCTGCAGCATTTGGAGAAAATGTCGGCAGCATCCACGCCTAATTTCCATTGTTTTCCACTTTAAACCGCTGAGAATGTGGTCAACCTAAAGCCATAGTTAAATGATCTGTATGTTGTTAAGATTTCTGCAGCGTTTCCCCCATATTATAGCCTCTCAATAAAAGTTTGTGTCATAAATTTTCTAGATTTCCTCGTGACTTTTCTTAGATCCCTTGAGACCATAGCTGATATTTTCCACAGATTTATCGTTATTTGTGCAGGATCGCTGGTCAATCCTTTCTTCTCATCATGCAGCCATTATATCCATACATCCTCATCTTCCAGAAATATGCTGATTACATTTCTACCTCCTAACAAAAGTTGCCCAATTTTGGCAGCGTGCCTTGTTGCCTTTCAACGTAGCTGAGCAGCTGCCCATATCAAGCTGACTGGTCTACAGTGAGGTGGCAACTAGTCAGCCGCCCCTGTCGGTCATGAATCCGCCATTGTGCGCATAATAGGTGATCATTGTGTGGCAACACAGATAGGCGCTTTATTCACACATGACAACGAACAGTTTTGAAAGGGTGAGTCTTAGAGTGCTACCAAAACCAGCGAATTTGTACAGGCAGCTTCGTCAAATGGAATCAACCATAGACAGGGGGAAGATTGTATGCCAAACGACCAGGGCGGAGCTTACAAACCACAGCGACAGGGCTGGCCATTTCGTCCTATTTGCAGCCATGTAAATTATGGGACTGATTTGGTCCAATTGAAAGTTCTCCTTTGTAAATGACGAGTAACAGTTGCCTTTGGCTGCAGATAAAACAAAAGATGCTGACGAGACGGCCTTCAAGTGAGGGGCTTTTTGGCCAAAGAGGCTGTTGTTCAATGGTTGCTGTTTAATTCGGTAGTCCTGTTCACAGGCCAGGCGACATGCTGATTGAAAATTTCTGGCGATAATCATTTTGGGTAGTACATTGTGGGTCTTGAATTGAAATGCCTAGCAAAGCTCCAACGTTCCAGAGATCTGTTTCAGGACGTCGTATTCCTTAGGAGCAGATTGGCTGTCCTTGGCAAGCAGACAGGGGAAACTTCAGGGCAGGCAGTAACGCTCATGTTTTGCAACCTGGACGGGGAAATTGCTGCTGTGCGTTCCTCAATACTTTTGATGATGTTCCTGGCTGGCGTGAGTGTTTGGAGCTGCATTCTTGGTGAATCTCTGTGCTGGGCTCCCTGCCAGTCGCCTGTTCGCTTGAATGGCTTGAGTGGTGGTTACCTTACACCTGATCAGCAGTGAGTCCAGCACCCACACAAGGAAAGTTATAAACAGTGGATCTTTAAACAGCATCGCGAACAGCCCGAAAATAGGTCGCTGCTGCGCAGCATACGAGCAGTCTGGGCGTCCCTGCATGCGCCCGTGGTGCGTTCCAACAGTCAAGCGGGAAGTTCCAATTTCTTCCGCAGATCTATGGGATGGGTGTAGGGTGTAGTATGAAAAGGGCAGGTGGATTGAGACAGTCCCGTTGGGGCCAAGAAATCCCTTCTTGTTTCGATACCCTAAGCCCTAACACCACTGGCCCACTCTGGCCTTGTCAGCGGAAGAAGAAGGGGTCCTCGCGAAAAATACAGAGGGACTAGTCTACTGTCCTCCTTGGGATTGCAGGATTGCGGCGCTGGGATGCGACCCGCACCCAATCCTTCGACCATCCGGTATATTGCCGCGCCAGCCGGGTGAAAATGCCCTGACATCGCCTAACACATTGCACGGACTGGGTTGCCAACATGCCAGCGCAGTGGGCGCAGTGCCATCCCAGTACCGCTGGACGTTGTCGATGGCTTCACGTCCGGCAGCGGTCTGTCCGGTTCCGTCGGCGGCGGCATCGAGCCACCCACATCTATAGCAGCGGGAGCCCCAGCCGCCCCTTGTTTCCACCCCCGCTCTGACCTCCGGGGCCCACGGGCGCCCTCGTCTACCCCGTTATCGACCCCGAAGCTGTTTGGGGTGGATGGCTTGGGCGGGTGAGCTGCTGCGCCTCTTGGGCGCGAGGTTCCCCGACGCAGCGCTGGAGCGCCGGTACCGCAAGTTCCGGATAACGCGGTACTTCCTCAGGGACGACGGCCTCCAGGCGGCGGTGCGAGCCGCCCTCATCGGCGCCGGAGCCGTGCGCTCGCTCGTGAACAGCGGCCCCACGGCGGGCACGGCGGTGATGTTCGTCACGCTCATCGCGCCGCTGCTCCAGCTGGCGATGCGGTGGCTGGCCAACCGGCGGGGACGCACGGAGGCGGCCCTGGCGGCCTACCTGTGGCATCGCAACGCGTGGGCGGCGACCTCTCGCGTCCTGTTGTACCCCCTGTTCGTGCGCACCTGGTTCATTGACATCTTCCAGCCGTCGGGGCCCTCCACGGCCTGGCCCGGACTCCTGTCCTACATCTTCCACGCCTCCGGCGCCGTCATCCCCTTCGTGACTGGCGGGCTTTACCCCGTCCTGATGGAGCACCACCTCGTGATCCAGCCCCTGTCGGTGCTCGTGATCGCCCACTGGCAGCAGGGGCCCTTCTGCGAGGTGGCCCTGGCGGGCGACAGCGGCCCCGGCCACGTGCTCACCGCCTGGCGCGCCCTCGAAGCCGGCTCGCGTCAATTCCTGGCGGCGATGTACATGGGGGAAGTGCCAGCGGGGCCCGAGCCCGATCCCCTGCCCGCCTGCAGGCACGTGGTGCTGGCGCTGCACGTGTGCGTGGGGCTGGCCGCGACGACCTACATCGCGTGGCTGGTGGAGCACACCTCGAGGATCCACTTCCTGGCGACCGAGGGGTGGGTGGGATGGATGGGCTGGGAGCCCCTGGGAGGGTTGGGGATTCTTTCGCAGCTCGCCATGGGCGCGGGGTGCCTGGCGGTGGCCTGGCCGGTGCTGGGGACGCTGGTGCTCGATCGGACACCTGGAGCCTGGGAGGGCGGGAAGGGAGCTGCTGATGTTACTTGATAGGGACGATGGTGGGAGTTTCAGAGTTTCAGTGCCGGTTTGGGAACAACAGTCGGGGAATCACCGGTGCGGAGCAACGCCCAATAAGGGCGAAGAGCAACTCGATGGATGTCAAAATTTGCGTCGGGCCTCTTGGCGTGTGAGCGGTGCTGTTTTGAAATAATTGTAAACACATTCGTCCAAAGATGGCGGAACCCCGCCACCTTGACTCTGAGGTCGGTGTTGGGCCATTTCATGTTGGTTTCGTATTTTCATGGCTTCCTGTTATCCACCTCTGAGTCCACCTTGCACATTGGAGATATTGAGATATCCACGTTCGTGAATTGCGCTTTCTGTGTCCACCCATGTCTCTCTAGGCACCAGGTACAAAGTGGCCCTCCTCACTGATGGCTAAATATATTTCCTGCTTGCAGGCATTCGATGTCCAGGCGGCCAGCAGCCCATCCGTTATGATCGGAGTCAACTTGTGGAAAATTGGGGTATACCCATACATGCTTGTGCCCTCTTTTGTCAGCACACAATGGGCGTACATGCTGAAGAAAACGTTGCTGTGCTGTCCGTGGTGATTGCAATTTTGAACTCACCATAGTGCCCTTCCAAACCTTTGGCCTTCCTCAGTGCCAAACGGACCGTAGTTGCGGGCTGCGACTTGCGGCCCCATTGCCAGCTCCTCAACTAATGCTTACGCCACTAGTTGCACTTCTGTGTGAACTTGACTAGTCTATGGCTGCTTTTCTGATCATTGACATCTATTCATGCGTACTGTTGGCTCGAGAAACAAACAATTTTGTGGACAATATCTCATTTGCTGGAAATTCTTGGATATCAAGCGGAGCACCTTCATGGACAGAAAACTACACGCACAGAGGCCGTGTGCCTTCCATATTGAAGACCTTGGCCCGCCGAGCAAGCAGGGAGTATTGAACAACATTTGCACGAACGCCGGCGTTGGGCACAGAATTTCTTTCCCTACCACAATGTCCAAACGACAGAGGCCTCCTGGAATGTAAAACTAGAGCTTTTGGTCACTGTAATCCAGCTTTCTCTGTGATCGAGAGCGGCATTTAGATGTTCTGCAAGCGCATTATCCCCCTATCATTTTTTGGCATGACAGGCAATGAGAAAAAGAATCTTGTCCCAAAGCTAACCCTACAACCCTGCATGCAGGTGCAAGGTGCGCATCTTTGAGGGCCACTTGGTTTCACGCCCAAGCAATCACTGAAACTGGCAACAATTTCGTTTTTCGCAAATAAGCTGTTCTTTGTCATCTTATATCATTGGTAAAACTGCCGTTAGTCATGAGCACCGGCACATCAAAGGCGGGCTCATGACTGACATAGGGCAGCTGACTGGGCCACTATCAAACAGTCAGTCAGGATGAACAAGAAGGGAAAAAGGAAGCTAGCAAAGAAAAAAAAACAGATATGCGTTCATAAAAAGAACAAGGGAGAGCTACTATGCAAACGGCATATCAAGAAAATATCAAAGGCTTGCTGTATTGTTACAGTTTATTGTGCCTAATGCGCTGCCTGGACAATGGTTGTAGGAGAAAGACCAAGGAAACATGGCGAGCCACAATCCCTCAGTGGCTGCTCAGCTCTGGATGTGCTGAAGATCATTGATAACGCCTGACCGGAGCTTGACGATTCCTAAGCATGACTGCTGGAAGCTTTTCAATAAAGCGGTGGATTTGTGTCATGAAAAAGGCAGCGTCAGAAGCTGCGATTTAATGGACACAGTTGTTTCCACTTTAAGGGGATCCGAGGGTCTGTGTTTGAAGGCTGCTTGATGTTGGGCATTATGACTGTAATCCACAAAAGGACCTGACTAAGAAAGGGCTACCAGCTGTGTACGTGAATAGACCATTTTGAAACGTTCAGCCCAGGGATGTCAACGGGACACATGGGCAAGGACTGGATAAGAAAAGTGTGTATTAAAGGAACCACTGGCATTCCTTGACAAAGTTTAAAGGCTAAGGGAAACAGTTAGGGGAATGTCGAAAAAGATATATGGGAACACAGCTATACAGTGAAAAAGAGCTGTCTGAACATTATGGCGTTTTGATATGACGTTGGCAGCTGTCAAGGCGACTCTAAGTAGTGAGCCAGGAGTGCTGGCAGAAGGCACCAAAATGACCTGGCAATTATGCACCCGCCAAAGCATTAAGCTGAGCGGTGACTGTGATTGGGGAGACGCACGGAACCAGGTTGCAGTGCACAGGAGAGCTGCCACCATATGAGGATTATTCTGATGATAAAACATGACCTTTATGGCAGTACGGAGGATGCCCGACGGTCAGGCTGATTCATAGCGCTAAAACCACTTGACAGAGAATATTGAATACGACTAAAACTCAGCGCTAGTCTGTCACAGCCCTCCCCAGGCTGGGCGGGACAAGAATGAGCTTGATGCGTTCGTTTATACTTGCGTATTAGTGAAGTAGCTTGACTGACATCCATATTTGGATATCGTACTATGATGAAACGCGACCGACCTGTGTCGCATTGGCCTCCCATGCACTCGAACTAATACTGCCAAGGGTACGGAGACAGCCCTGTAGGTTGCCCAGTGCTACTGGGCCTTTTTTGATGTGTCACATGCGCTGACAGACAAGTCAGCCGTACCGAGCCACGGGAACGGGCCCTGCGCCCGAAACGCCTCCGCATAAGACCCCCCGACCTGGAAGGCTTGCGCATGGTGCGCAAGCAAATTCCAAACCCCACGAATGGTGCAGGGCAGTTTGGGAAGTCATAGCGAGTGCCCCCCATGTTGCGGTCCCTTTCGCAATGAATGGGCAAGGCGGAACTGGGGCCCTCTCCGGAGTGCAGAGAATGAACGCACTCTCCATAGAGGGTCAGAGGGACCTTCGCATGGCCGTGGCAGGGCCTTACGGAGTGCCTTTCGAGTGACTTGCAGCCAGCAGAACTAGCATACCTAAATTCTGGGTATGAACAGCAGCGCGCTGGACATGGAGGTGGCGTCTTTTGAGGACAGCGAGACCTATGTACCTCCGGCCAGAGGCCTATGTCATTTCTGCCATTCCCACGCGCAGGTGCGCGTTTGGTTTGCGGCAAGCGGTCCATCACTGCTACCAGGTGAACCGTGCGGCATGGGATTCAGACTCATCCATCGCCTGGGCTACTTCGGAGGTGGATCGACCTTTTCGCAAACCAAGAGCCTTTGCATGGCGTGGTCAAGGAGCATCTCTTTCGCCGGCCGAATGCAGCGGGGGCGCTCCCCTCCCGTGGATGCTCCGGTGCGTCGAGTCGACATGGCAAGTGTTGGTTGCGTCGAAGCACCGAGCCTGGGTACAGTTTAAAGGAGTGCTCGGGCTGGTCGACTACGAGGAAGGGGAGTGGCTTGCGAGCCTCTTAGACAAGCGCAAAATGAAGTTGGAAGGAAGGGCCTGCAAAAGGGTCGCAGATGCTACACTACCCGAAGCATGGCCCCTCCTATACCGGGAGGGAGTTAACCGACAGGTCGAGGAAGGCGCTACACCGGAAGAGGCCCACTAGAGTGAGGCCTGGACGTGGGGAAACGGCTGGATAAGGCAGCAGGGCGACAACAACTTCTACGGGAACCGCGGTTGTCCCATATGCGACCAAGACCACAAATATGTGCAGTTTTGCAGCTTCGAGGGGATTGTCGCCGGCCGCGCTTGTCACAACCGGCCCGTTCTAGATGGCGGGCGAAATGGCAGAACCATGGGGTGAGAGAGGCTGGGAGTTGACCCCAGCTGTGGCGGCACGGCTTCCTCGATAGCGCTGGAGGTTTCGAGGCCGGGCACGAAGAGGGAGGCGGAGAGGTGACGGTCGCGCACAGTGAGAATGAAGGGCGGTCCGACACAGGCGCTGGGAGCAGGTTGGATAATGCGCAAGGGAGCACGGCGGGTGCAGAGGCGAGGCGCTTTGACGGGACGCAGGACGTGGCCATGGCAGACACGGGGGTCGCTTATGCAGATGATGACACGGCGTACCTAAGCACAGTGGGAGGAAGCTACTGAGCATGCGCAAAAAGCATGGACGAGAATGGCCATGCGGACGATGAACGGGCATAGCCAGAAGTTGCGGGGAAGTGGCAGTACGGGACTGGTCCATACTCAGTAGGTGTATCAGGGGGATCATAGGGAAATATTCTGACGGTTTAGGGAATCTTAGTGTATAGATTGGGTGTTGTATTGAATGGTGAGCTGAGTGACTTTACAGTACTATACTAGGGGACTTGGGACTTGAACGGACTGAATTGAGTGGTTCAAAGTGATATGAGTATCATGATCCTTTATGATCTGATCGATATTGAGAATCTTCCTGGGAATCTTTATGGGATATTCCTAGAGGGGGCGGCAGCCCCGTGGGCTATAAATAGCGGGGCGAAACCCCAGTTGGACAAGCGAATCTGAACTGACCAGTTCTGGAGCCAATAGGCAAAGGAACTAGGGGATCGAAACTGAACTACAAAGTTTGTAGTACAGGTTCTGGTCCGCGGAGGGCCACGTTGTAATCCATTTTCGGATTCCTTGATCAGTTTTGTGTCTAATTAAAGGGAAATTTGGCTTAACTACAGCCCGGTCTATTGGGAATACCTGCGGGGCCCCAAACCGGCTGTAATTTCGATCAATTCCCTTGGCCTGGATCCGCTGGGGAAGCCTGCGGGGTCCCAGATCCGGCCTTGTGCTTAGTAGGGAAGCTTTTGGGGCTCCCACTACAGTATTGCAGTATTGACTAAAGTATTAAATTCGCGAAAGTATACAGTCCATATAGCGATTCAGAGAACCTTTGGTAAGAGCGGTTGGGTACATTGATTCACCAGACTATAAGCTGTTCTGAGATCAATTCCCTTGGCCTGGATCCGCTGGGGAAGCCTGCGGGGTCCCAGATCCGGCCTTGTGCTTAGTAGGGAAGCTTTTGGGGCTCCCACTACAGTACTGCAGTACTGACTAAAGTATTAAATTCGCGAAAGTATACAGTCCATATAGCGATTCAGAGAACCTTTGGTAAGAG